AAAATTTTTTCTTGGGCCCTGAGAATGCCACCCATAGGGAGAAGAAATAACATCGTTAGGATCAGTTACTAATTTTCGACTTCCCTCGGAAGGATCATTTAGGCCTAATGGGAATACATTATAAGTAGCATCTGACACCCAATCTATCAAAGACAATAGATTGCCATAATATGCATCGATATGAGCATGGTACCAGTTATTTTCCATTTCAATCTGTAATTCCCAGATTAATTGTAGTTGATGATCAGTATCTAGCTGAAGATAGGATTGCTTGACAACCACATCAGACAAGGCAAAAGATACATTTGATATTAATAATGTAGGTTCGTCGTTCAACCAATTTGTAGTTGAAATTGTCAATTCATCATATTCAGGTGCTTGCAAGTTTAATAGACTTGCAAAAGATGTTAGAGCCTCGTAGGGTGAGATGATGGGGTTTGGATCAAAATTGATATTATAAAGTTCAGCATTCCCCCTAACCATTGATCTTTTCTTTGCTTTTCTTTTATCTTTCGATGAAAATAAGATAGATTGTTGTTTGTTGTTAATACCCAAAGTTAGATCACTATCAAAAACATCATCACCATTAATATTAATATTAATATCAATTTTATTATCTTTTTGTGTCTTTGAGGCACATTTGTGGTTGGAAAGAGGACGACGGAACTTAGGTAAAGCAAAAGAATCTCCAGTACTGATGATTGATCCATGCTTGTCGATGTTTATATTTAAATCGCCATTAGTAACTGTTATACCATTTATGACTTGTTTGAAATATACATGAGTAACATTAGTATGCTCCGATCGATAAATATTCTTTATTATAAAATTAGAATGCGGATGCAATTCTTCAACAAAATTAATTGCTATCTCTTTTGGATCACCAGAGTGAAATTGAGACCTAAATATATGTCCAAATTCTTTTATTGATGGGGAAAAATATTTACGATGAACTAATTCTGGTCCAAAATTTGGACGAAATGGATTGTGTGTAGTATGATTTCTATCAGTTGGTAATGTATTTACATTAATAACTAGGGCAAAAAAAATAAAATATGCTATAATGATTTTCATGATAGATTTATCTATCTGACTTTTTAAAAAAATTTTATAATTGTTTAGGACGGACAACTAAAAAAAGAACTCAAAGAATGAAGAACTAAGCGTACAGAAGAAATATTTTATTTTTAAAAAAATAAAATATTTTTTCATTCCAATCTACTTTATTCCTTTTTATATACTCATAATAAATAAATGGTAATATAAACAAATATAATGACCTCATGACCAAATAAATATTCTTATTCCCTTTGTTAGATACGAAATTAATTTTTTCGTGTAATATGTAATATGCAAAGAATAAAATTTAGTAAATAAAAAGAGTCACCATTATATTTGAATTATTATTATTTATACATAACCGTAAAAAAACAAAACCTAAAGTCACACGTGACTTACCTAATTAGTTATACGTATGAAAGATATGCATGCAAGTTCAAAACAGTAAGTTTAAAGTCGATCGATAATGATAAGTAGTACAATATAGATGATAAATAATAATAAAAATATTTAATGCGAAGAAGATATCAACCCTGATTCTAATTTTTTCTTTTCCATATTTTACCCTTTCCACCTCCAGCTAATCAAAAAAAATTAATATTAAGAATTAATAATTATTTATTTATTTATATCGGTCGGTCTCCTGCATAAATTAATATTAACCTTGTGAAATATATAACAATCCGCGGCTGATTTCCCTTTTGTGTATTATTTATTATTATCGGCAAAATATATAACCAATCAAGGATCACCCATCATAAATAAAAGACACAATCTCTCTTAATGAGCATAGTGGAAATTTGAAATGTTACACGAATTTTTTATATTGTGCAACGTAGCTTTACAATACATGGCAAACATTCTGGCAATAAAAAGTAAGTGATAAACTGGATTTGAATTGGATCTGAACTTGATCTCCAATTTAAAGAGATAACAACTATATACTGGAGCAATGAGTTCTGTATGACATTTCGTGTAACAACAAACTTCCACTATGCTCTCAGAATGATCTACAACATTTTGACCTTTGATTTTTGTTGTTTGCTGTTGTTTGATAAAGAATCTTCCTCCTAGAGAATTGCTGGAAGCAAATCTTCTACAAAAAAAGATTGATTACTCCAAAAAAAAATTTTTCAATGACTCAATGAATATATAATATATTTTACGAGACTAGATGATGATAATAATGTAAATATTTTTTATCAGTATAATATAATGATGATAATTTTTATTATTTGCATATTATTAAATAAATTTACAAACGAGAAAAATAATGAATGATGTTTTTTTTTAAATGGATATCCTTTTTTTTTTTTTTTTTTTTTTTTTAAGTACAACAACTTCCGTTACAACATTTACTTGGACAATCTTTACAACCAGGTGCAACCTTCGGGTCGGATAAATCTATTAAAAAATAAAATTTTATTTTAGTAAATTTTAAGATAAATGAACGAGCGAACGAACGAACGATATTTACCAACGTATTCGATCTCAAAATCATCGTCATAAGCTATTTCATAATCATCAAGTTCGATATTATGAACAATTGGTTCATAATGAACATCGTCTGGTGGTGGATTTATGGCAACAACAATCATTGTTGTGAACGATAATATTAATAAAATTACGAATAATTTATTTTTCATTTTAAATTTTTTGTTTTAAAAAACCAAAATTCATTTTTTTCATATTATATATTGTAATTTTGCATACAGCAAAGCCTCATGGAAAATTAAAAATATTTACCAAGCCATCTTAAATAATTTACAAAGCCATTGAAAATCAAGTCTAAATTTTTTTGAGAGTATGCTTAAAAAATAATTATCATTTCATCTTGCTCACGTGATTTATCATTTTATATACTATTTATTTTTATTTTAATAGTCATAATTAAGAAAAAAAATCAAATTAATTAGAGTAGTAAATAATAATAAATTATAATAATAATATCTTCTCTATTAATTAAAGGAAAATGACTTTATAGCGAGATAAATAAAATATTTTGTTATTCTAATTGATTTTAATTGATTTATTATTTAATATAATTTAAATTTTTTTTAAAAAAATATATACTCTTTAAATATGTTGGTTGTTGGTAATAAAAGTTTCCATTTCAATTTGAAGAAACCAAAAAAATAAAAATAAATAATGATGTTTTTATTTATCAATATTATCATCATTATTACTATTACTACTTCATCAATTACCAACGTGTCATCATCACCTCTTAATCCAATAACAATTAAAGGTTCAAGATTTTTCGATTCGGTAACAAAAGAACAATTTTTCATAAAAGGTGTAGCTTATCAACCTAATCGTAACATAAAGGGCGGTAATTTCGATCCATTGGCAAATGTTAAACACTGTAAAAGAGATATTGATATGATGAAGGAATTAGGTATTAATGTTATTAGAGTTTATCAGATTGATAATCACGAAAATCATGATGAATGCATGAATTATTTGGAACAAAGCGGGATTTATCTAATCTTGGATTTGGCTACAAGTTATGTTAACGTAAATCGTGATAGTCCCGAATGGTCACTGTCAATCTATAAAAACTTCATTACAACTGCATTGGAATTTTCAAAGTATAAAAATACCTTGGGTTTTTTTGCTGGTAATGAAGTATCAAACGTTATAGAAAATACTGATGCCTCAGTATTTGTTAAAGCTGCAATTAGAGACGTAAAGAAATTTCTAAAAAAATATTCTTCAAGATACATCCCAGTTGGTTACTCGAGTAATGATGATGCAAATATTAGAATTCCTTTATTAAAATATTTTAATTGTGGCGATGATGAAAATGCCAGGGTATTTATATCTATTCGTCAATTACTCATCATCATCCATCTATATATACATTAGCTAATCAATCATATTGAAAAAAAACATTATCGATTTTTTTATTTAAAGGCTGATTTTTATGGTGTAAATATGTATGAATGGTGCGGAAAAAATAGTTACGAAACTTCCGGGTATGCTGAACGTACAAAAGAATTTTCTGGTTATAGTATTCCTGTATTTTTGTCAGAATATGGATGTAACACTTATCATCCTAGATTGTTTGAAGAAGTTTCTACAATCTATGAAAACAAAGAAATGATTTCGATATGGTCCGGTGGAATTGTTTACGAATGGACTCAAGAAACCAATAATTATGGTTTGATTGAGTACGATAGTAATGGCAATTCAATAAAATTGCCAGATTATGAAAACTTGAAAAAAAAATTGTCTCTAGTCAATATTCCACGAACTGATCAAATGGATTCTTATCAACCAAAAAATTCTAAACATTTCCAATGCCCTGAAATAAATGAAAATTGGAAAGCGACTAATCGATTACCACCCACTCCTTCAATTAAAAAATGTAAATGTATGAAATCAAGATTAGAATGTGTTGTAACAACGACAATGACGACAACCACAACAAACAACAATAATAACAATAATAATCCTTTTGAAGAATTATTTAAAATTGTATGCGAAATGGTTGATTGTAAAGAAATTAGTGCTGATGGATATCTTGGAAATTATGGAAATTATTCTTTCTGTGATCCAATCGATAAGTTATCTTTTTTATTTAATCAATATTATCAACAACAAAATAAAATTTCAAAAGCTTGTCAATTCAAAGGTGCTGCTGAACTCGTGTCTCCAATTAATAATAATAATAATTCGTTGGATTGTTCATCAATCGATAATGATGATGGTGGTGATCTACTCTTGTTAAAAACAAATAAACAAAACATTACCAGTGGTAGTAACAGTAACGATAACAATAATGTAATGATAATATTATTTGAATATGTTATTTTATTTATTTATATACTCAAAAGACATTTACATATTTAAATATATATAACAAAATAAATACAAAAGTCCCTCCCTCATGAAAATTTAGATTTTCACAATACTTGTATTATTTATTTTGCAACAATTCAAGTATTTGTTGTTGCATCAGAATCGATAACTATATCAGCTGAAGTTTCACGTTTATCTCCCCCTGCTGACTCAAGATCTTTTGTGGTTTTTTTATCGATTTTACCAAACAATTCGTCCATTTCTTCAAGTGATTTATTTTTAGTTTCTGGGAAAAATATATGAACAACTACCGCCATTAACCAACAACATATGCCAAAAAATATATAAGTTCTATTATAATATAAATATTAATTATTAATTAATAACAACAACAATAACATTTAATAATAATAATAATAATAATAATAATAAAATAGAATGAACATACCCCCAAGTAATACTATATCAAGAAATATTTTAATAATGATATCAGTAAAAAATTTTTTTAAAGAAATACTACCACTCTTTAAGCTAATTTACTTACTTATTTAACATAATTGGTGCAACAAATCCTATGATTGTGTTTGAAATCCAATTTGCCGCCGTTGTCATTGACAATGCTTTTCCTCGAATTCTAAAATAAAAAATATTACCAAATATGGATGATGATGGATATTAACGATAATGATAACGACGACGATGGTGGTGATGATAATAAAGATAAGATTTAAGTACCTTAATGGATATATTTCAGAAGGATAAATCCATCCGTTCTAATAAAAAATAATCAAATTAATTAATTGCCTACACACGTTAATTGCAAAAAAAAAAATATAATATAATGCCTTACAGGACCCCAAGAATAAGCAAATGAACCCACGAAAAAATAAATGAAAAAAATGATAACGTATGAATTTGTTTTACTATCCAATCTCATAAAATTTTTTTCAAGTTCTGGATCATAATATTCTATTCCTGTGGCCCCTAGAATTATACCGATTATTAACATGGCACATCCCATCAAAAATCCACCTGATATACTAAAAAAAAAAAATTAGTTAATTAATAAATTTTATTTCGTTTTTTAAAAGAAAATACTTACAAAGTTGGCCTACGACCCCATTTATCAACCCAAATAATAGCAGGAATAGTACATAACATATTTACTACACCTATATTATAAAATTTTGGAAAATAAATATTTATTAGATAATAATAATAACTATTATTATCAATTAGATAATTATATATTAATACGCACCATTAATTCCGGTGGCAAGAAGTCTTGATGAATTATCTGCAAGTCCGGCATTTACAAAAATTTGAGGTGCATAATACTATTTATTCATTAAAAAGATGTGAATATAAATATGACAATGATAATGATGATAATAATAATAATAATCACCAATATAGCATTGATTCCAGTGAATTGTTGAAATACTTGTATAACAACGCCCAAAATCATTCTCCTTCTAATATTTTCTGGGCCTTTTTTAACAAGTTCATGATAACTTTTTGCAGCAAATTCACGTTCAAATCTAACATTTTCTTTAATTTCATTATATTCGCTCAAGACATTTGCATCAGACTTGTCTCCATTTGATCGTAAATCCGCAATAACTTTTAATCCTTCTTCATCTCTATCATGATCCAGTAACCAACGTGGTGAGAATGGGAGGAAAATTGTACTAACAGCTAACATATTATACGCGTAAATGTGTGAATGCGTGAATGTGTTAAATTAAATTGAAATAAAATAAAATAAAATAAAATATTTTTTACCTAAAATTGCGGCTGGAATAACTTGAATACCTAAAGGGATTCTCCATTGTGAGTCTGAAGAAATCTTTTCACAACCGTAATCAATCCAAAAAGAAACTGCAATTCTATATATATTCATGTATCAATTTTTAGAGGGATGAAAATTAAAATATTAAAATTTATTATTGTTGTTATTATTATTATTATTATTCTTACCCTATGGTAATAAATAATTGTTGAAGTGAGACTAGACGACCACGAATTTCTTTTGGACTAACTTCTGCTTGATACTTTCATAATAATAATAGTTAGAATATATATAATGTAGATCCAACAAATGGATGATATAAATGAATACACCTACTAAAGGTACTATTGCAGACAAAATCCTAAGAAATATTTAAAACTTATATTATTAAATAATAATAATCATTATTATAATAGCACGTAAAAAGAACTATTGTAATTTACCCAACAGATATACCAGAAATAACTCTACCAACATATAATTGAGCAAATGTATTGGTGGTAGCTTGTAATATACCACCGATAATAAATATCAGTGATCCGACAAGCATAGAATATTTTCTACTAATTTTATCGGCCAAATATCCAGAAACCAATGCACCTTTTTATAAATTAATAATATCAATTAATAATAGATAAATATGATTGGTTGTTGAATGAATCACATGTAATGAATATAACTTTTTCTTTACCGGCAAAGCATCCTGCTAAAAGCGATGCTACTATTGATCCTTCTTTTGCAGGACCACTAGGAAAAATTTCACGAAAATGCTTCATAGGTAGAATACCTGATATAACACCTAATGTTTATAACAACAACAACAATTAATTTTTAAAATCTTGTATGACTTGCTCCCAACGTAAATGAAAATTATAAAATTATAAATAATTTACCTATATCATATCCGAAAAGAAATCCACCTTTAAATTAGAGAGTAAAATCAGAATTGTTTTTAAAAAATTGTCAATTAAAAAAATCATAAAAATTTTTTTTAAAATAAAATTTGTACCAACCAATGGCAGAAAAACACGCAATTGTATATACAAAAATCATATTTCTTAATTTCGTAATGGATGGTTTTTCAGCCATTTTTTTAAATTTTCTCGATTTTTTACTTTATAAAGGATTTTTGTGGAGAAATTAATTGATTGATCGATTAGGCAGATATCCGAATGAATTTAATATCTGATAAAAATAAATTATTATATCACAAAAATCAATAAGCAAAGATTTGATTCATAAAAATTAATAAACAGATATTCTCATGTGTTTAATAAAAATAGTAGATAGAGAAATTTTCATGAAAAAATAGTTTTTAAAAAAGCATCATATTTATCATATTTATATTAATTAAATACAATTGTTTTTTACTCGTCGTATGTAAATTCTATCAAAAGATTAAATTTTCTGACTTAATTTAGTTAATCCACGACTTATAATAATAATGATGATGAGACTTTTTATCATACATTAAAGACATTGATTGTGTGCGTGAGAGAATATTATCTTTATATGACATTATCTTTTTTTTACTTTCGCTCTTCTCATTTGTTATGTTTCATACATACATTTATTCATCCATTAAACCTGATTTCTCGTAAATAGTATAATAGCATCACCTAATTAAAAATAAAAGGGCATTAGTTCCATGATTTTATTAATCTAGATTTATACAAGTCTTAATTCTCCCTTTTTATTGTGCATATAATGAATCACGAATGTGTGTGCAAGCAATAATACGACGATCATCGTCATCGAACATCACCATACATACTTTTCAAGAAATGAAAACTTTAAAAACTTAGTTTATTCATTAGTGATATTTCTGTTTATGTCAAGATTTCCAGTAGATCTTGCATAATATTAAAAATTGGTATTATTCAGATGAACTGGAACGTATTTCCCTACGTTATAAACTTTACCTCATTTATATCCCAATTGATTTTTGGCACCTTATTTGTACATAAAGTACAAGTGTGACAAACACCAATCTATATAACTGTGAATCACCTACCGATGAAAATATTATTGAAGATATTCTTATTTCAGAAAGTGTCGGGCAACCTGAACATGTTGAAGTGGAAGTGTAAGTGTAAGTATGCACGAGTGAAGAACAATTTTTTCTATAGAAGAAGGTAGGAAAACATTTGAAGCCGCAAAAAAATTTTGGTACAACAAGGATTTGCTACAGAAAAGAAATGTAAAGTATTAATATATTTATATGAATTAATAAAAACGTTTAAATAGTTAAACAAAAAACAAAAAGTCAATCCTTATTGACCGAATTCATATTAAAATAAAATTAGAAATCACGTGAAACAATCAGCTGTTATATCCCCACAAAAATCTCGAGGATACAAGTGCATATTAGTATTAGGGCTTCTATTCAAATAAGGTTTATTCGAATTATTCGTTATTATTATTATTATTATTATTATTATTATTATAAATAAAATTAATGATTCGAATAAAACTAGCAATTCGAATAAAATGAACGATAATAATAATAATAATAATAATAATAATAAATTTAATAATAATAATTCGAATAATCCAATCCAATTAAATTTTTTTTCTTTATCAATCTATTTTTCCTTAGTCCTTGAATATAGTGATAATAATAAATAGTACTAGTACTAGCAATTATAGTAGTAATATAGATCATTATTGTTTATATTATCTTGTTAAAGAACTAAGACCTATATTTTATAAAATGAATAAACCAGTAATTTGAATAAAACAGATAAAACGAATAAAATGAATATAATAATAACTAATACTAATAAATTTTTTAATTCGAATAGATTTTTTAATTCGAATAATAATTCGAATTAGAATTTGTATTACGAATAGAACCCCTAATACTAATATATTAATATTAATATATACAACTGGTATAAAAAACGGATTACCAAATTTGGAAGATTCTTCCTAATCAGCCAATCGCAGTGTGGGTTAAAAACCTTAAAAAATTGGGTCATTAACCAAGCCTTTTTTGTAAAATGGCCGCCCATAAGGTTTTAAAGTTCAAAAATTTTAATCTTATGATCATTCATATTAACACAATTGCTAACACCATTTTTATTCTTTATAAATATCAAAACTTCTTTGTATATAAATAATAATGTCTAATTTGATTAGACCGCATAAAATTACTAACTATTTATATTATTAGACCCCTAAATCCTAATATTAAACCAATTTATTAGTTATCAGCAAGTAATAATACATAATAATGGAGGAAATCGAAGAAACAACCTTTATTTTAACAACATATGGAAGTAAACAAAACTTGCAATTGTTCTGTTGTAATTTACCAAAAATTGTAAAGATTTATACTTTTAAAATTAATAATAATAAATAAATTGATAAATTTTAATAATGGAACTTTCTTTAATATGTGTATATATATGATGAATGCAGGAATTACACGCTCATATAAATGGTTCAATAAGCTCTAAAACACTGCAAGATTTAGTTGATAAAAAGAAAGATAAAAAACCACATTTATCAAATTTCAAAATACCAAAGAAAAGATTAGCTATATTTTACGAGTAGTATATCTTTTTATGATACATATGTATATTTATCTATCTATCTATGATAAACAATAGGTTTTTTCATATTTATAAATAGCTTTTTTGAAATATTCAAACTCGTTTATCAGCTTATAGATGATGAAGAATCATTGGAATATATAACCAAATCAATTATTCTTGACTTTGAAAATGATGGTGTAAAATATTTAGAATTGAGATCAACTCCAAGGAAAAATGAAAATAATGGTAAACAAATTTCCCAACAAAACTCTATTGATCATATATAACAATTTATAAATTACACAAAATTATATTTTTTTATATTTTTTTTTTTTTGAAGGAATGACCAAAGAATCATATGTTAAAACAATAATTTATACCATACAAAAATTATCAACTACTTCTAAAATAATTGTAAGATTGATACTTAGTATTGATCGTTCAATCACTCTAGAAGAAGCTATAGAAACTGTTGATTTGGCTATTAAATATAAAGAATTGGGTGTTGTTGGAGTAGATTTATGTGGCAATCCTTCAGTAAATATTATTTTTATCATCATTCTATTCTAATTTAGTAATTCTGGCAATAATTCAATTATTAAATGTATTTATATATATAGAAAGGTCATTTTGATATTCTAAAACAGGCTTTTATTAAAGCACAAAATAATGGTTTAAAAGTAACTTTGCATTTTGGTGAGGTAAAGTATTTATCCAAAAAAAATAGTATTTACATATTTAATAATAATAATAATAATAATAATAATAATAATAATAATAATAATAATAATAATAATAATAATAATAATAATAAT